TGCCATGGGAACTGACCATAGCAACAGGGGCTGGGGATGGTTGCCATGGGAACTGACCATAGCAACAGGGGCTGGGGATGGTTGCCATGGAAACTGACCATAGCAACAGGGATGGGGATGGTTGCCATGGAAACTGACCATAGCAACAGGGGCTGGGGATGGTTGCTATGGATACTGACCATAGCAACAGGGGCTGGGGATGGTTGCCATGGAAACTGACCATAGCAATGGGTCCTGATGAGGTTTGCTGTGGTAATCCAGGGAATCCCTCTGGCTGCCCTGGAAGACCTGGGACCCTGGGAAGGGGCTCAAGAACCCCCCTGTACAGAGCCCCGAGAGACACTGTCTGTGATCTCTGTCCATGGAAAAGAGTTTTCAATCTTACAGGATGAATTACAAGCTCTGAGTGTTTGTTTTAAGTAATAATTATCGTGACATGTGTGCAAAAGTAGAATTTTAGGATTGTAGGTAAGGGGTTCAAAGGGGACAAGATGGAGGAAATTGGGTGTGCCTTGTCCTTTTTCTTCTTCATTCCTTCCATGTTCCACTGTAGTGTTGGCATTTTTCTATTGGTTTAGGCTGGGGACACACTGTGCAACGTAGGTTATAGGTATTGGCACGTTATTGTAAATATAGCACACGTAGTTTCTGGTATATAATGTTTGTGACATCCCACTGAGGGCAGAGCCCCTCACGCTGTCCTGCAGGACAGACCTGCGGCAGGGCAGCAGAACATGTTATAGATAAGCAAGAAAAAACAACCTTGAAAACCAGCACAAATGAATTACAACTTCTTCTTTGGCAGCGGGGCTGAAAGACAGCAACTTTCTATAATTTTGGGATCATTTAAATATCACACATTCTGACATAAATGGCATCCCTGGCTGGGCTCGAACCACCAACCTTTCAGTTAACAGCTGACAGTTTGCCTAGTAACGATCAGATTTTTTGACAGGCCCTCAGAGGGGTTCCATGGAGACTTTTTAAGTGTTTCCAGGCTGCCAAAGAGCCAGGATGTCACAGGCACTCACAGGGGCTCCTGCCATGGGCAGACTGGGAGCTTTAGTCAAAATTTATTAGAGAAGCTCCTTTCTGGTCAGGAGGTATAGAAAAGACCCCCAATAGCCCCTGTAGATCCCCAAATATCTCTAAAGACCTCCAGCCTTTTTGAACTCTTTTTGTGAGAGGAGCCTTGGAGCAGCAGGTTCCAATCCCTGCCCAATGCTTTTCAAAAGCTTATATGTAAACAATTATAAAGGTGGAATTAAACCTTTATAGAATTTGTCCCACAGGATTAAGAATGGCAAACCAGTGTTGGGTTTTTCCTTTCTGTTCATTCCTTATCATCGGCTGATGATTGTCAGCTCATCCCTTACTTTGGGAGTATGATCAGAGCTGCTGCTCTTGGAGAAGGGATTTTCCACTGCTGCTGCCAGAGCCCGGACCAGAGCTGCTTCTTCTGTCAAGGGATGAGCCTCTGCTTGTAAGAACAGCCACTAAACTGGGACCTTATTAACACCTGCCCCACTAAACGAGAGATCTATCCCCGTCTGCTCGGGTGCCCAGGATCCTGAGCTGGGCTCTCCCTGCCCTGCTTGGAGCCCCTCACCCCCTGCCTGATGAGACATCCTGCCAGCCCAGCCTGCTGCTTTCTCGAGTCCTGCTGGAGGCACCTCCACAGGAGGCTTTTTTCCACCTTCCCTGGCAGACCTGTCTTGTAAACCAAGACCAATTTTGGCATCCAATGAGCAGCCCAAGGGTGTCAAGAGGAAAATGGTGAAATTAAAATAACAATTCTCGAGTAACTTTTTTTTTTTTTTTTTTTTGTGTACTGGATATAGAAACATTGTTAGGTGTCACCACGTGGTCTAGCTGACCCTGGTTTGGGTGGCACATGCTTGTGGCTACATTTTTCCCATCCTATACCTATGGCTACTGTGACTGCTATCCAATTTGTTTGATGGGTTAATATGGTGAGGAATTTATGGATTTTTAATTTCCTCTGGACGGTGGGCACATGGATTCGAGGCTACCACACACTGACTGTATGTGTTTGGAATGACTTTAATAATGGTACCCACGGTGAGGAAATGACACCAGGGAAATTTTCTCCCAACCCCTCAGCCAGCTCTTTGGGTCTACAGTGGTTGGTGTTGCTGATATACCTGTTAAGCCTATTCTATTTAACATTCAGAGGTAAGGGAAGATTGACTTGGATAATTATCGTAACAGGGCATCCCTGGCTGGTAATAATTAGCATTGACTCCATGATTCCAGAAGGCTGATCTCCTAGGTTGTAAGATAAGCTTGTATTCTATTTGCCATCTGTTGAAGGCAAACCTGTTGGACAGGTTTTGTTATCTTTTCCAAGAACCGGTTTTGCTCCTAAGAGGTAATGGTTTGTTAGTGGGCCATTGACTGATTCAATGCAGGGCTGGTAAATGTAACACCGTGAGGGGTCCCACCCAGAGGGGGAAGCCAAGCACTCTATTATTGTTTAAAGGGGTAGCTTTTTGGGGAGAGGAGGCAGCTCTCTGGGCGGGACTCGGAGAGAAGCAGCTCGCTCTCTCTCTTCGCGGGATTCCCAGAGAAGCAGCTCTCTCTCTCTTCTTCGCGGGATCTCGCAGTGAAGCAGCCGGAGCGCGCTGAGGCGACGGCGGCGGAGCTCGGAGGCAGCCCCGGCGCAGAGGAAGACTGGCCCCACTGCCACCAGATCTTCAGAGGAAAACTATACCCTTCAAGGGATCACCACTGCAAGGGGAGCGGTCGTCCCGGCAGGACTGCTGCTGGCACCCCGAATCCTCACGTTCTGGACTTTTTTTTCACTGGTTTTGTTTGTACCGATTGCATTTGCCTTTTTTTGGATTGTTGTCTAGTTTTCTCCTAGTAAAGAATTGTTACTCCCATTCCCATATCTTTGCCTGAGAGCCTTTTAATTTGGAGATCCTGGTAATTCAGAGGGAGGGGGGTTTGCCGTTCTCCATTGCACAGGAGGCTTTGCCCTCTTTCACAGACTCCTGTCTTGTCGAACCAAGACAGCTGATCAATCACTTTATTACATTATACTATACTATACTGCTAAGAAACACTCACCACTCTTAAAGACAGTCCATCACAGACAGACCAGACTGGTTAATTGAAATCCAAACACTGTCACCATTGGCCAATTTAGAAATCACCCTTTGGAAAACAAATCTCCATAACACATTCCACATGTTCACAACAGCAAGTGCAGCAAGTGAAGATAAGAATTGTTTCTCATTCTTTTCTCTGAGCTTTCTCACAGCTTCTCACAGCTTCCCAGGAAAATCCTGGGAGAGCTCTCTCTCTGTTCAGAGGCTATGTGATTACCACAGGTCAGTTGTGACAATGCAGGTCCAAGGACACCACGGTGACACTGCGGAACCTCATGGAACCAACGGGCCATGGTGACACTGTGCTGCCTCCTAGAATCAAGGAGATCACTGTGAAATGGAGACCCCAAGGAACCAAGGGTCCATGGTGACCTTGTGCAGCTGCAGTGTCACAGAGGAGCCGTTGTGACACAGCGAGGGCACACGGAGCCGAGGGGCCATTGTGACACATCAGGGCTTTGAGGAACCACAAAGCCATTTTGACATTACAAGGCCTCATGGAAGCACGGGGCCATTGTGACACTGCAGGATCAAGGGGAATATCGAGACACTCCAGGGCCTCATGGAACCAAGGAGACCATTGTGACACTGTGGGGTCCCATAGAACCAAGGGAACATGGCACAGGTGTGGCTGGCTGGGGCTCCTGGGGACCACCTGACAGGTCCGGCTGACCTTGGCATGTCGAGGGCAGCTTCTCACCTGCCCTGAAGCACTGGGGCTCTGGGCTTTCCTTCCTGTGGGAGAGAACTGTCCTTCTCCTCCAGGGACCTATGGCCAGAATTGGGATTCCTCCTCCAAAACTCTGTACATCCAAGGATTGCTCCCAAGTGAAAGCTGCCAGGACAGACAGG